TCTGAGGTTTTCAGTGGTAGTTCGTTAGCTTGAAAATTTCTCTAAACACTTGAATGCTTTTAGTGCAAATGTTTGGAAAGAAAGAGCTTTCTTCTACTTCGAATCACAATGATTTTCCATTCTGTCAATCATAATAAGTTGTACAAAGATCATAATGATATGAACCGATCAATTCTGACATATTCTATTACAAACAAAACTTAAGAGTCATAATAGTGACTGGAAATTTGTAACAATGAACAATATGTCAAAAGAAGCTGTTGCACAATGCATGCGATGACAGGTCATCGATAATCCTTACCATAACCAAGTTTTTATAGCAGGGATTCGCTCATTTCCAATAATTTATATAATTAGGCACACGAGGAAGATAGAAACTTATGGATTACAGAAAATTTCTTCAAGAATGCTCAATCGTATTAAGGAAAACTAGTAAGTATAGCAGGCTACCCAATTTATCATTGTTTGTGCAAATCCAAGTTTTATTTACAGTCTGGTTGGAGAGATGTATCTTTCCCTCACGATCGGAGCTTGATACTTTGACATTGCGTTGGACTGGCTGCAGTATCAAGTTCACAAAATATGATGATTTCACATTAGCTACAAGCTCTACTAGCCATCACCTATTCTGGGTAATGTAAATGTACCGCGTATAAATGTGTGTGATTTCTAGGTTACTGAGAGAAATTGTATCCGTATGCAAAAGAATTTTCTAGAGCCGCTATTTGGTGATGTTATCTTTAACGGAGGACATTGTAAAGCTTCCAGTTGTTGATATTATGAGAGAAGTTATGCCTAAGTAAATACTCTGATAAAAGGTCTTCTACACGAGTGAATCTTGAACTCTTACGCTGCCTTCAAAGACGTATTGCGAATTTTTGCCAGATGTGTTGATCAAGCATTTCAATCACGTAGACCGAAGCCATGGCGCTTCTGCTCGAAGGTAAGAAAATACTATTACATTAGTTGCTTTGTAGTCTTCTCGCAAACTAACTGTCACATCGTTATCACTTTGGTGGTTTAGCTGTCGCTTCTCTTCTTTATCTTACTATGAATGCGAGTTTATTACTCTATTACAACTACACTTGCTATGCTGTTGCCAATATTCGGGAGCTTACAATTCGTTGCCATCATGTCAAGAGAAAAGACGGTCAAGCCTTGAATGAAGAAGACGAGGAGCTTGAAGATGAAGAATTGGAAACCATGCTCCAAAGCTTGGCTGTAAACGTTGACGAGGACACTGGTAACGTATCAGACGCGAGCATGGACAAAAACGTACACGCTCCACAAGGTTCTTAGTTTAGCGATGACGGAACTGACGATGCACAAATCGCAGGTGTTTAACACAATATTGTTACCGGGTACCGGCAACTAGCTCATTTCTGCGAACTGCTTATGGCCAAACTTTGAGAGAGAGCAGAAAATTATCTATGGAATTCAAAAGAACGCCGATTTGGAGGACACCACTGTGGAAGAAATGAAGACATTCATAGTTTTGTTTATGCAAAAGAGTGTTGTGGCTACCGCACGTGAAAAATCATTGGAGCAGCCATCCGTCTTGTAGGAACCCCTTCTTAGGAGTATGAGGTCGTGGATTAAGCACAAGTTGCTCGTCGATTTCACTGACCACATGGCAACCTCTTGCTCATACACCAGGATGACATGTAAATGGTGAGTGTATTTTTCTGAGATATTGCTTCTCAACATCTAACCTCACAGTTCAGGTACACCCGCCTGTTCTTCCACCTGGTGACGCATATGTGGCTGACGAACGCGTGCAAAATCTACAAAGGCTACGTGAAAGAATTTCGTTCACCGATTTCAAGATGGATGTTCATCTCAAATACTTGCAAGATTACTTTGCCCCACAGCCGACACCCAAGCGTATTTTCGAAGTCACTTTGCCACGTCGTGGACGTTGTATTGGATGTTATAGGAAATTAGTAATACCTGTAAATACTGCTTGTGCTCGAAATGAAACCAAAAAGTAGGCGTGAGGTGCAGTCAATGTAAGCAGTCTATTAGTTTACCTTGTTTCAATAGTGCTCATTGGAGATGTGCTATTAGGGATTTTGGCGCTCGACAAGTTGTATAATTCGGGACGAAAAATAATGGCGCATAATACGGAAGAAATTTATGAACCGAGAACTCATTATTTCAGGATATGATGTTTATTGTTCTAGAACGCATAATTTGTTGAATGCAGCAAGCAAAATTCTATGCAACGCGGGTGAATGTTGACCGGTACCGATATTTAGGGTGAACTGCTAATGATCAAATGCTGTTGTATGAGTTATTGTTTACAATATTTCAAAAAAAAGATAACAATCAGTGAAAGGTCTGAAAAATGTGGGTGGGGAATTTGCAATTTCTAAAGAGAAGTACTCTACAAAATGATGATAGTGGGCTCTATGTAAGCGTATTCTAGTGTGTGCTAGAAGTCACACCACTTAAGCTTCTTGAAAAATTCATAAACTGAAAAAAGCTCAGTTTCAGCTTTACACTGCTGCATACCGTCAAAAATAATAAGTACGAAATGGAGATGAGCTATTTTTTCTTGATGTTACCTCGGTATTGAAAGTGGAAATTTTTAGAATACTTGGACATTCTTTTTACTAAACAGGACTTTTATAGGAAGCCGTTGGTAAAATGTCATTCTTTCTGATTATAAATTGTCTCTATTGTACGAATTTTACTATACAATCACCAAAACACCCACTGCGAAGTTTAAGAGACTAGATGCCCACTCAGAATGTGAAATTGAATCTAAACTCCCTTGCTTTAAGGCACTAAAGATCAAATTGAAAAAGTCAAATTAGTTTTTTAATCTAAAATTTTTGAGCTACTGAGCGATTATCAAAACTATATAGTGAAATTAGGTATGAAAGATGGCAAAGCACGCAAAGCACTCCGGAGACGAAGCTTCTGTTCATCGCTTTTACAGCACTTGAAAAACCTACATTTGCTATTCTATTCAAAAACTAAATGTATATTTAGAATAGCTATTTTTCAAGCTATCGAATGATTTCTAAAACTTTGGTGAAAAACTTTTGCTGTGTGAAAAAACCATGTGAACACGAGTGCAAATCACACTGTACATTGTGAAGAGAAAATTGCGATTTTGTTTTTGGTGCTGCTGCTTCCTGAAAAAACATTTCCAAAATCCAAAAAACTATCAGAACCGCAATTTTGCCAGAAGTCTATAGTTGACGAGGAAATCACAAAAATTCGAGTGCTCCATGACTGGAACACGCGGTCCCGAAAGCGTAGATAAGCTACATAGATTTACCTCAATGTAGATCTCAATCAGAACTGTTTAGTTGTAGAAGTTGTGCTTTCAAGCTACGTTGTCGCAAGACAGGCGTTACAAATGCGCAATAGTGGTTGGAAGCTTGCTTATTTTCTTTGCAAGAACGTGGTATTAGCGTCGAGAAATGATGAACTTTAAAAGAACTTATCACTCTTTGCATCAAAAAACCTTTATAAAAGGTTCATTTTCGATATTTTATTTTCTTGTGTTACTATAATGTACTATGAAATTTATTCATAAGAACCATAAAACCACCTATGACATGGAAGCAGTGGGGCAACATTTTAGGCTGAAATGTGATAATCTTTTCGCTCTTACAGAGATCTATGCTAACCTTTCAAAAGACCAATTACATAATCAGAATAGTCGCGATCTGGACTATCTAATATGTCGTAAAATTTTGGCAAGCCATATCGAAGCCCAGGCGAGCAAATGAAGAAAATTGAGTGTGAAACATAATTTATTTTCGCTGCTGCAACGCAACAAGAATTCTTTTTCTGAAACCGAAGAATTTTTTGAAATAGCAGAGATTCAAGCTTTTGACTGACTACTGAATGTCTAGGAGAGAGCTTTTACTCAGCGAGAAAGGCCTCAAAACAGTTGTGTACCTCACCTGGTACACGTCGTCCCTCAAGGGTTAAAATACCTCTCGGTGACCTAACGATCTATCGAGTCAGTGTTGCTGTCCTTCCAGACAAGTCTGGTACCAATACACCAGTGTCACAGGGCACCTCTAAACATCGTGCCACACTCGCTCTTCATAAACATAATATCAAGGGGAAAGAAGAACACTCAGAATCCATCTTTTTGCGTTTTTTGGGGGGTTTAGTGCTTTCGCTATCTATCAAAAAATCGTTTTCAATAGGTCAATACGCGCTCTGGATTCAAACATACTACGAAAAAAAGGGAAATCAAAACGACTTCGATTGGAATTGCGAGATCATTTTGATCCATATCTTTTTTCGCCATCAGAATTTGTTGGAACAGAGCATTAACATTTAAATATACATGAACTGTTGGCTCTTTCCGGACGCGTAAAAATACGAATCAACTATGTTTCTCTCAACTAAAAATGATCGATTAAAATTTCATAGAAGTCAACTCACTTTTAGTCACTGCAACGTTCAATTTCACGTACTGAATGCCGAATGCCCGCTCAGGACAATTCTTGAGATTGTTTAAGAGTTGCACAAATTTTTTTCACGTAGATGTAATTACCCCTGAGAGGATTGGACAAGGACCAAGGGCCTGCCTGACTGACGATGCCGCAAAGGCGAAACACGTGTATCGGGCTGTACAAGAGCCCATAGCAGATCAAATGACATGTTGGCTCAAATAATCATTATGAGATGTGCACGTGTATACACGTATGTATATATTATCGCTATGAGGAATTCAAACGAGTATGAATTTTCATTTGCAGATCAGAAGTGACGAAATTTAACCGAACAGAATTTATTTTCTTTGAGCGATCATGCGAAGTTTGCTTATCGGTGTGGTGCAATACATCTATTCGTCTGTAACCAGCCGTGAACACTTTGCAAAGGGAGCCGGTATCGAAATGAACCCCGCCACTCTGAAGAATATTGGTTGTTTAGTGATCAAGTCAGATTATTTTTATTTAAGCGCTTTTAGCTGTGATATGATATTATAGATATGCCCAGTGATATGGAGTGATGTATAAAATTTTTGCGTCACGCGGGACTCTAACCCGTGTCTCATTATAGCCGGTGGGGCGTGCTCTAACCCGTTGCACTACTGACGTCCATTTTGTCATCAATTTTTCTACAGATAAATGAGTTGTAGCGTAGAAAGAGTGACGGCAAAACGGGCGTCAACACTTCAACGGGTTAGAGCATCAGCTTCCGGATAGAGTGAGATGCGTGTTCGAGTCCCGCCCTCAGCAAAGTTTTGCACTTCACTCTACATCATTGGGTATATCTATAACATCATACCACCGCTAAAAGCGGTCAAATTAAAAGAATTGCAGTAGCATTTTTTTTGAGACGGAATTACAGAATAGAATAATCCTCGTTCAAGTCTATGTAGAAACACTACAAAGCTCACTTCTACGATAGTTCATGGTGGTATGAAGACATCATCTCACCGAAGTGCTGCCGTCATCAAAACAAACTCGCATTCGTAGTGTATTTCAAAAATAGAACTAGAGCGAACAATGTGCCGAATTATAGGATTTATTCACCAAAGAAGGTGAACAGGTATTCAATAGGCCTACTATAAATTACATACAAAACGGTGAGCATTAAGGTATTATAGTATATCACAGGAGAAATTGCTGACATGAACATTCGGTGCACAACCTAATATAAAGAACAGAATTTGTTATCGCTATGCCCCTATGACCGGTAATCTCTGTGGACGAGCAGGCAACTTCTCCGCGATATTTTCTAGTTGACTTATCGTCTCATCAATGCCTTTATTCACAATAAGTTAATTAAATAAATGACCTAACAATTGGTGCAGAATTTCTGATTATTGCAGCTCGCTTCAGACTACCATCAGGCTAAATTCTAATATTGAAAAGATAATGGCTCGTATAAGCAAGTGAGACTCACATCTTGGAGGCCTTTGCGGTTTGGTTGCAGCAATGCAGATATCGCTATGCATCTGTAAGTATTGCGTTGTGTGAAATTTTTTCTATTGAACCACACATATTGTGTCAAAGAAATATATGGCGAGTAGAATTAGTTCAGAAGGGTTCATTTTTGTTGGACGGCATCAAATTAAGAAACGACCCCTTCCGCTGAACAAGAATTTTTCACAAGAGTGCTAGTAATCAGTCGAAGGCATACCTTTCGGTTACTGCGTTACGGACTAGTTTTTTCAAAAGGCCTTTTTCATAAGGCTGTATAGTTTAAGATAAGATTGAATTTCATACCGGTCGCACGTTTTGACTATTACTTCGCTGTAAGCACTTATAGCATAGAAACGTGTAGAGCAAATCTTATAATATTGATGTCACACTCTTTAGCGTTCAAAAGCGGAGGAAAATCTTAAGTTGAATATGAGGAATCGCATTCTGCATGTGAATCGCGCGTGCGTGGTATATCGACTGGACGCTATTGATCCACAGCCACCACACACCTGGTCGACAAGCAAATGCGCTGCGTATGAGCTCAGTCCATGATACATTGCAATGAAATGATATTTTCAGAAGATAATTCAACTAAGAATATTATAATTCAAATAGTTCATGAGTAAAGCTCTGTCCTGCGAAAAATACGCTTGAGTGAAGCACAATCTTTTCGCTTTGTTGCAGCGCTGCAAAATAGCTTTTCTCGAAAGCAAGCATGTTTTTGAATTCTTCAAAATTTAAGCTGTCTAAGAAATTTTGGCTTCTCTTGCCAGTGGCGCTGTGTGACCGATCACTGCCTTCTTTAAAGGATTAATGTGGTTACTTCACCACATTACAACAAGCTGAACTGTGAAGCATAGAAAAATTTGAAAAAAACTAAGAACAGTGGAAAAGTACAGCAGAAGTACTACGCAAAAATTTCGACCCAAGACGGTGTTGAACCCGCTGCTTTACCCATATCGGGGGTGGGAAAAGGGTGTCAGCAGAACGGTGGCTTCAGTGGCACAATGATTGCACGTGCCCCCGTAATGGGCCGAAATGGGATATTCTCTGGCAGAAGTGGCCTTGAGTATCCCCCACATTCTTGGATATGTAGTCATGACTCATACCACTTACTTGTAAAGCGGTGATATGAAGAATTCTTGTAGTGTGGTAAGAAATTGCTAACAGCGAGGTCATTGAATTTTCGACTTTTCGTAAATTTCTTCGATGATGTCAGTTTTTACTTCAGCCACAGTCAAGCACCAATCTTCTCTATTACGAGTGAAAATCCCTCGAAAATGTATAAAACTTGATTTATTTATTCTCAACTGATTCTTCCTTTGTCGGTTACGTAGATTTCATCAATAGAGACGTGGCAGGCGTAGTGATGCTGTTCAATCACGGATTAACGCCCCGCCTGACCAACCAGTCACCCCATCTTCGACGGAGAGCGTGCTTTCATGCAAATGTTACAAGCTTGTTCGTGGATGGAGAGGTAGGGAATGAATTGAACATGTGACGTGCTCATGTTCACGCAACCTGAGAGGTTAGGCAAAATAAATTCAAGGTTCTTTCTGATTATAAGGTAACAAGTGAAACATTGACTTCATTCGCTGGAGAAGTACTTTTCATAAGAGTGTTGGTAATCATTCAGAAGCTAATGCTCCAGGCTACTGCTCCACACCGCTGCTTTTTTCAAAACACCTTCTTATAGCGCTCTGATCTCCAAGCAAATACAGGGCCTACTTTTCCTCATTTAAAGCCTTTTCTTTGGGCTTTTAGTAATCATTAGATTGCGTACTGCCTCATAATGGCAATGCTGTGCATATATTCTATATAGACCATTTCTGTGCAATGTAGCAGGTAAAATTAGTTGAATTCAATGTGTGAGAAAGGACAAAGCGAGGGCCATTCACGTCGTGGTGGAAGTGGCAGTCACGTGACTGCTGACGAAACTTTTCTACGCGTTCATATGTTAAAAAAAAAAGAACTGGCATCACGAGGCACTAGTGAAACGCATGACACTGCTGCAAAAAATACTTCAGATACTTATTTTGATATAATGCCGATGTGTCAGCTCGGTGTTCTCATCCATTCAAAAAACCCTCGTTCCAGTTAAGAGATCGCAGAGGCTTTGTTGGTTCAGTGAATGGTATCGAAGGCCAAAATATATTATATAACTGAGTAGGGCTTCACACGCGCTTTTTGCGGGTTAGTAGAGCTCTCAATGAATGCTTTACGATTACAAGTTGGAAACCACTTTACGGAAGAGGCCGAGAAGATTAACACTGTGTTTGAACCAGGCGCTGCTACCCATCGGAATGAGGGCCAACTGTTCGAGCGCTTCGAATGCGATACGAGCTGTCTATGTCAACAACACCCTTATCGATCAGTCAGTCATCTTTGATAGAGACGCTCTGCTCCATGAGTTGGAACGCATTTACACTCTTGTACCAGGTATTCAGAGGATGCGCTTGGATATAGGACCGTAGGACCATTGGTCGCCATTGGAATGAAAGAGGCTATTGCAAAATGTTGTCTCAATGGACACCTTATGCATTGGCTGAGCTCAATCGTGCTGCACGCGTTACTGTCTGCGAAATTCATTTGGTGCAACCGCACAGGCAGGATTTTCTCAAGTCAATCATCACTGAAGATGAAGATGAGTTGTGGGTCTACTACGGAAAGATCACGCCTCCGCGCCTCTTTGCTGCTTTGAGGCATAGACCTGCCAGCTCAACGAAGACCAACCAGAGCTTAATTTCTCATGCTGGAAAGATACTACACTTGATTTTCTGCGATTGGCAGAGCATGCTGATTTATGAACTGTTCGATAATGGGCAGGGAATCAGTGCTGACGTCTACGCGGAACAACTCCGAAAGTTGGCTGCATCAGTGCGAGAGGGACGTTCGAGGCGGCTCAGTATCTCTTCTCTCCAGAATGACGTTCGAGCTCACTTTAGATAGTCGACTCGCCATTTTTGGAGGAACAGAACTCGGCAACGGTACTACATCCACCGTACATCCCTGATATTGCTTCATCGGATCATTATCTATTCACTGCTCTGAAGCAGCAACAACAGGGGAAAAAATTCATAAACTACAACTAACTAAAAAGTGACCTCACTGACTTCTTTGATCGCCAGCCTCATTTCTTCAAGGAGGAAGGTAAATAATCTTTGTCTAGCAAATAAATGTGCATCATTGATCATGCCAGTCATGAAGTTGCTGATTAATTGTTCTCTTCAAGTAATTAACAATTGAATTGACAAGTGTCGGGATGCGGAGGTATTATTGGGACAACCCAATATATGACCAGATATGTACAGTCAGGCAGATAGAATCGTTTTGCTTCAGAATGAGAATAAGAAAATCTATCGAACGGAGATGTTACGTAATAGAAAGATAATTGAAGGGGAGAGAACTTATCGGAAAAATTCTCAAAAGTCCTTAAGAGTGCTGGGGCGAAAAACAGATGATAATATCAAAGAATACTTGTTCACATGTAGATTAGATTTAGTAGGTCGAGGTCTATAGTGCACCTATGAGAAATGCTCCATGTGAATATAAAAGGTGATCGCTGCCGGTGCCTTTCACGTGCCTTTGTGAAGATGGTAGGCATTTCGCTAATAGTCAACGGATTTACAACACTTTTTCTGTAAGATGAAAGAATAATACAGAAAGACATATATATATACCCAATGTTATAGATTGATATAAAAACTTTAGTGCCAGGCGGGACTAGAATTCGCACCTCACTCTTTCCGGGAATGCGTGCTATATCCCCTGCACTATTGACGCCCACCTTGCACATGCTCTTTTCGCGCTACAGCGCATCTATCTGTTATCTACGAAAGAAGTGCTGGACTTTGTCGTTGTGCGATAGCATGCTATTTTAGTTGTCGAGAAGACCGAAGTTAACGGAGACGATCGAAGTGTTCAAAATTCAAGTCTACATACCATAGATAGTACAGTAGACTGTTCTGCAAATTTTTGATTAATTACACACAAACTTTGTGAAGGCAACTAATAGTGTTTATTTTCGCTCAAAACCTCTTGAAAGTTTTTTCACTTTCCTGGACTTTATGGAATCCTTCCTTTCAAACTGCTAAGTGTTGCTCGATGTGAACGAAACTAATGCTATCTCTGCTTCATAGACTTATTTAGTTTTATTTCCAACTTCCGTCATTTTGGACACTCGCATTTGTTCCGTCATTGATTCTTGCTCCGGTGTCTATCAAGAATTACGGTAAGCAGACAGTTTATGGGTTTCTTTTACTTAAATAACTGATCTGTGTCAAGTTTTTTTTTAAACAATTTCTACGTCGTATTCACTATTAAATGTTTTTATTCAAAGCTTTGTTATTCCTCTGATGGCAATGTAAGTTCATTATTTGTTCCTTTCCTTGCTTTTGCTCTCGACGACTGGCGTTATCGTCTGCGTTTTTAAGAGCGTTACACTCGTTATAAAAGAGTTTATCAGGAAGGTTTACCAGCTTTTTTTTGGACTTAAAGATATCATATAAGTTTTCTTTGATACTAGAAAACGTAAAATCTAGTATATTTCGTAGTCGTAGTTCTCTTGCTCCCAACTGCTCATCAGTAGTACTTCATAGTAAATGTCTAATTTGTCTTTACAACATTTTCGGAGAGGAAACTGTGTGCTGTATGCTTTTGAAAGTTTTTACAGATGTTCATTTGAATATGTACAAACACCTCACTGATTCGGATGCAGCTTATTTCTTCAGATTGCGGCCAACTGGAGTAAGGTATATCACCGTATCTTCATTCTCTTCAATCTTATTCATAAATGGATCGGTTTTGTGGTTGACTCGTGTCCGATAACTCTTAGGTTATAGTATCTAAACGGGTTTGAGGCTGAATTGTTCTCTTGTTTAGATACTTATTTGAGTAGTAAATACATTCCAAGTGCGAAAAGTTTCACTTTTATGTTGTGTGAAGTTTTTTCCGAGTAATTACATGCTGTACAGGAGGAAAGATGAAGCGACTCTGGCACGCGTAGCTTACAACTTCACGCAATGCATGGAAATGAGAGGAATGAGGTTTTATACGAAATTTTCCTTAGAGGTATAATGAAATCCTACAAAAAAAATGATGCCAACACGGTTTCAAATGGAAAGAAAACGGGAAAGCATTATCCTTGCCAAAAAAAATATTTTCAACACTCCGCAATGGTTAGAAGTGCTCTGCTTCGCACACAAGATCAATAGTTTGATCTCGCACTCATGGCTCACTAAGTCATCTATCCTTCCGGGGTCGGTAAACTGGTACCACTTGTCTAGGAGGATAAGCAGCAGTGACTTGACACAGCGGTAAGGCTAACGCGAGTCATTGTAAAGGCCATACATGCATCTCGAAGTTAAAAATCGAAGACGCATGCATGACGCATTCCTCAGATATTGATCAAAGCCAGGAGCTTTGTCCTTATCCATTGCATGAGAGTCTAAAATGATTACAGCGCTGTGTCCCTGGTATAAAGGTAATATGCGCCTCGGAATGGGTGATGCACGGGTTCAATGTCAACGAGAAGTCAAAAGTTTTTCAAGGCGCTAGCCTCTGTACAAAAGTTTTTGTAGATGAAGTGTCATAACTTACAAGGTAACGCTTCTATATTTTATCATGATGAATATTGAACAATCGAATTGCTGCTCATCCACACGGAGGTCTCGTGGTGTAGTGGTTCACATCTGTCTGACACATAGAAGGTCGGCGGTTCGAGCCCGTCAGAGACTATTCTTTTGAATCCCCATAGATCAGATTGAATGCCAATATTTTTCTATAGTTATATCAAAGAAGAAATGCTAGCAAAGTGGTGCCTGGTGGTGTAATGGTAGCACTGGCAACCGATTTGGGTGAGTACGCTAGTCTAACTCACCACTGTAGTCGAGTGTTCTGCGTATCACCCAATTCTCTGTGGCAAATTAGCTACAAATTTTCCTTGTAAAGACGTTCAATTTTGAAGCACGATGTGACCCAAGGTAACTTTCTTATCTACAATTAACAAGCCTCTTGTTTAGGTCACTATAATGCCAATAATGACAGAACGACTGCATGCACCTCCCGTTCACATTTCTGGACAACTGTCGACTACTTCTACATCCTTATCGCCGTTGCCTCACGATGATTCTTCCTTAGAGGAGCAAAAAATGCTGTTTGGAAAACACTAGAGAGTCTAGTAAAAGTTAAATGCACTGAGACCTTTGTCTTTCACGATATTTGAAGTCATAGTCGGAATACTCAGTTGCATTGAAACCTTTTGAGAAGCTAAAATCTATGAAATGATGTACCACTGTGGCCAAAATTGCAAGGCTTTTTTAGCTAATTATTTTACTCCTTATCCCAGGACATTGAACTGATTGATGTTCTCTGGCGAAGTGACATCGCAGCTCAAAAGGGCACTCGAAATGTGGAGCCGGCCCGAGCAGTACGAACATAATTTCAATTGCTAACTGAGAAGAGCCTTTATTCGGTACGTAATGGACGATTCTGAATATGCCTTAATCTCGCTAAATTTTTACGCTCGTCACTTTCTTCTTGGGAGAGTTTGCAATCGAGTTGAAATTTTGAATGTCAAAATATTTGTTGTTAGTGGCTAGGATGTTCTCAAAGTTGCACTGTAAACACTCTTAGCGTTAAATAGATAGGAGCCAATTATCAAACGTGATGCGAAATGAATGTACAAACGTTTTCATTGAAAAGGTCTACCGCACTAGTAATTAGGTACGAATTCATCGTGTTTGATTATTTATGGTGTAGGTAGTTTGTAAACGAAATACTGCGGAAGCATTTCATGACAACCGTAATTGAACCAAATCCCACGATGCTCTTGGTGGTATGCCATATAGACACAATCTACTTAAAATTTAGCTTCTTCGAAAAATTTCAAATCTTTAGTCAGTCATTGTCAGGTCCCACACGTTGTAAGAGGAACACAGTGCTTGTGGTTTCATTTCTTTTTCTGCAGTTTTTTCATTTGGGAATATACATTCAAATCAAATGGCAAATTTCAAAAATGCACAGGCCGCAATTACTTTCGCACCAGCCTTCATTAGGTCCTCTACAAGTCGAGAATATCTTGCTGGTACATACCGCATTAATTCAAAAGCCGGCTCTATAAAACTTGGCATTAATAACATATATATATATATATATATATATATATATAAATTTTAGAGACTTATCCTTGTTCAGCCAACACAAAGTACGTAAATGTAGTAGATGTTGCAGTAATAGTACGATCAATAGTTCTCCCTACATTATTAGAAGCTTTTCTAGTCGTTGAGACTGATATCAACCAGTTGTTAATACCTGGCTAGTTTCATGTCTAGAAAATTGGAAGAGGTGTTAAATCAATGGGTTAGTTCCATACCACATAGGATGAGAACTTAGACGTGAGAGAAAATTTCTTGGAAGTATTCAGATCTAACCAGGATAACCATTTCTAATAAATGGCTTATGGTTGTGAAAGTTTTGTGTTCTTCATCAGTATGTCGTGAAGGACACAGCCCGATAACTGCTTAGCCAGAAGACTGTTTTTCAAGAGTTGTTTTAGTACCTTAGGTAAATTGGGCTGAGTAAAATCACAGTTGAGGATGTCCGCTGCGGTGCCATCACTCCGCTCATAGATTTGTTGAGGGTCGTCGTTTTTGTTCACCCCAATCCATATGTTGTTCTCTGTTAGCAAGTGCAAAACTTTGAAGCGAAAACATTTCTATAGCTATAGCAAATAGTGTTCAATGCCTATTTTTTCCATAGATCTGAAATTTGTAGTAGGAAGAGTGAAGACATACTGCTGTAGTGACATATTGACAAATATTCTTTGTAAACTATCACTTTGCTAACTTCAATATAATTATCTGTTGAACCACCGACCAACATTATCATTATATTCAGAAACGCCACCAGACTTCCACTTTATTGCTTCACGGATTATTTCGACACCATTTTTCAATCATTTCAGTGAATCATGACACTTGCTTTCTCTAATTGCATTCACAAAACCGTTCTCTGCTTCATCTTTGATACTGACAAGGTGACCTCCTAGATATCGGCAGAAGTTCTCGGCTGGGATCCACATGAGATCAACTTTGAAGAGTCGGTTCCAATAATCGCCACAAAGGTGCCACCCCTGCAATTTTTTTTTGGTGATGAATAGCTGCAAATACTAGAAACGTAATGTAGAACCATTTTTATTTTGAGCCTATCCACTCTCCAGACTCAACGATTCTACGAAGAAATCGCTGGCTTTGAGTAGAACTTAGCCGAAGAATGCAATGCTCTTGTTATGCAAATGAACGAAAGTCAGAAACTACTGGTATCTCTTAACACTATTTCAGTTGCTCCATTATACTAGACTAATAATAGACTTACATAATCTACGAATATTTCATAAGTTTAATAAGAATTTGACAAAAATACTGTCTAGGATATATATATGTATATATATAATATAATGTTCATATATAAATATATATTTTTAGAGCGACAGAGCATACTGTGATATAGAATTTGACAAACTGGTAAAGTGGTGTAGTTGTCGAGATTTCAGCGGCAGTCATTCAAAGCATTAATGTCATTAATGTGTTTAAAATAATTACAATGACCTACATTTTGCTGAAGTGAAAGCACTGTCAGAAGCCGAATATTATAGTCATGATCAGAAGCGCGTTTACCAGACGTTGAATTGAATATTGGGCGTATCGATGCTGGGATAACAACGGTGACTCCTGCATCAAGGAGTATGGCTAAGAGAGTTGACAGAAGGACGGCAACAATTATTCTGTTGAATCCATTACTTCGAAGATGTGTTTATAATGGCCATGATCATGTTACACTATCTCACAATTGATAGTCTGCGCAGTAAGCTTAAACATTGTTTGATGATCGGTTGGAGGGAACAATGTGATTGAACAAATCAAAGTTCTTTTCTTATTTTGATCATAAGGCTACACAAGTTCTCACAAAAATTTATGGTGATCTGCTTTTAAGCGCACGGATAATGTTTAGATGCCGAATAAACGCGAAAATCTGTTTTTGAAAAAGGTAAGTGAATGACTGCATTGATATCAAAACGTTGTTAAGTGGGCAGATTGGAATACAGTTTTGCTTTTCAGCACATCTTCCTACTACATTTTGTTAGCGCAATTTTTTTTTCTGATATTCACGTATTCAGTTGATAGCATTGACAACAAATAGATAGTCTTAACGTACTCTTTAGGAAGCAACACTATTACCGTGAAACTTTCTAGAACCTTCATTGTATATTTGATTCGTGTAAGTCCAAAACCACTCTCACGCTCATTCAGTGTGCTAGAAATATGTTAGACCGTTCTTAGTAAGAACGCTTTATGTTTCTACGTGAGTAAAAGAAGGCAGCAGATAGTCGCGGTGCTCGCACGCCCGTTTGCATAAGTGGGACCTTTTTTATTTCAGAGTTTCAGCCACAGTAGAAGTAATATCAAAAAGAAATGACTAGTACTAGACATATCAACTAATGAGCTTTAAACAATTATAGTCTGAAGCTCATATCATGCCCAAAGCTTTGTAAATGCATAAAATACCATCTCCGAATGAGTAAATGGCGTTGCTATGATGGCTTGTCGTCTAAAGTTACTATTATGAAAGAAGGTCTTTGTGGCGATACAGTAATGCGCTTTAGTCTCCGAAATGTCGATAATGAAAGAACAACAACGAACTGAGATAGCCGCAATATCAGCGCCATCAGCACCAATTATTCTCTATAACGAGGCGACAGTTCCCAGTTTCTGGATGCAACAAGCCGAAATGGCTCCCAGTGATAGTGAGTAGATAGAGACTGCTGTGAATTCCTTGTTCCATCCATTAGTTTATTCAACAGACAATCCGTAATATATCTCTATATTACGGATTATAATATAACAAATCCATGGCATTTCGTAACAGACCTGCTATATATATATAAGATTATAAGTGTTTAAACCCACCACGTATGATGTTCAAGAAAATCGTTCGGTCAGTTTGATTATATTTTAACCCATAACATACACCAAGCGCGATATAGTGTGCTTTGCTACGGTGATTACTTGAATACATACATTGATACGGTGAGTACGGGCGTTCAATAATATTTTTTCAGCTCCTCTCAGCCTTGAATCCTTTCTCTTTCTTTTTGAGGCAAGCAATTTTGCAAGAACTCACATTGATTTTGATAAGAGCGATTGCACGTCATTGTCCGTACGCATTAATCTCAATGCGCTTGCTTTTCAATAAGTTATTTCGCCACACAGCCTTTTTTCACGTGACTGTCAAGCTCACTCGATAACTTGCAGAACAAAGATGCTGTTGTTGGGCGTTGTTCAGGCAGAGTTCTATTTTGCACTTAACACTTTACGGAGAACGAGCACACTCACTGAAAATCTAGATTATCAATGAACATTATTTTATTTTCAATTGTTATAGTGAATTACAATCAATGTATAGAGTTTGAGGGTATAAAAAAATACTGAGAGAGAGAGCGACAGCGTATGGTGCAAATATTTCCTATTTCTAACACTACTATGTTTATATGATGAATCCTGATTAGTAAATCTCATCATACATGTGATAGAACCTTTTTCAATAGTTCAATAATTAGAGCCTCTCAAATTCTCTTCTAATTATCCAAAATTGTTGCTTGATGTCGGAAAATCTATAGGTTTATAATGGCTAGAAGATAGTCGTGCGCTAGAGAATATTCTACAGTCGTAAAAAATGTC